GTTAATTTTAGAAAAGATAGTTATAAGATTTAGCGCCCTAAAAAGTATTATAAGTAATAGAGGAATAGTCTTTACCTTATTATATTAAGGTACTTTATACTCTTACTTTACTACTTATAGGCTTTTCTCTACGGTATTTTATCCTTAGATAGATAGATAGATAGAATGGATAAATTAAATACTAAAATATTATCTCTATTGTTATATTAATTATTAACAATTAAACTAGGCACCGTTACTTATAAGTGTAGAGTATACGATAAACTCTTAATAGAATACGACGATAAAGTAGTCTTTATTCTTAAGAGTGTATAGCTTTACTTTGTAAATATATATTAATATTGTATGCGAAGCGGATACGAATCGATAAATAAACTATCTAGCGGAAGAAAGAGTAAAGGATTTAGTCGATTCTTTATAAGTCGCTAGCGAAGCGTAGGTAACTGTAGCGGAAGAAATAGAAAAAATAGCTAAGTATTATAATACTAAGAGAATAATAATATAGTTTAATATTAGCGATAGAGTCTAACTTATGGCTAAGAATATTTGTATACGAAGAGTAAGTAAGAAGCTTACGAACTAGTTTCTTAGGTCTTTTACGATGGTAGAAAGAATTAGTCGTAATACGTATAAACTAGAATTGCTAGAAAAGTATGGGCGACTATACTAAACTTTTTATATATCGCTACTTTAAAGATAGACTTAGCGATATAGAGTCGAATCGCCTATGTCTATCGATATTAAAGGCGAAGAGGAGTAGGAAGTAGAAGAAGTGTTAAGTAAGCGAAAGGTTCGGGGGAGTACTAAGTTCTACGTTTGATGGGTAGGCTTTAGTGAAGTTTACGACTCTTGATAGCTAGCTTTTAATCTACGAAACGTATGCGAAGCGATTAAGAAGTTTCGATAGAAAGAGTAAGTAAAGGTATAAAGAAAAAAGTTTTTATTGCGCTTATAACTTGTAAGCGAGCCGTAGCTATCCTACCGTAGTAGAGTAAATAAAAAGTACGTATCCTTCGGTTGTTTACGGCCGTTAAAGTGAATCGTAGATGGGTAGTAAGCGACTAACGAAAGCGTACCCTAGGATAAACTTAAGTACGGTACGATCGGTCCTATAACACTAAATAACACTAAGCTTTATACTTATACGTCGTAAGTATATCGTAAGCGATAAGTACCTACCTCGTACCTAACTAGCTACCTAGCGGGATTCACTTAGATTTAATCGGAGTTTTGTTTCTTCGAAGAGGCTTTTTCCGCCTAGATAGAAGTAGGAAGGCTATTCTAAAAATACGATTAGTATACGCAACGTAAGCGGAAAGTATACTTACGATATAATTATATAACTTGACGCCACTACGTATAGCTTTAATAAGATAATTTAATAACTAGCTTAAACTAGCGTTACTACTACGAGCTATAGCCGAACCACTAAAGCGACGAATACGACCACCACGAGGAGAGGCACTAGGAACAGTACGAGCGGTCTTAGTATTAGCAAGGGTAAGGGTACGGTCGAAGTACGTAGCGGCCTCTTCGATGGCTCGCTTATAAACTATATTTGGCTCGTTATCCTCGGTAGTGTCGTTAGCTAACGTAGTATTTATATTCTAAAGATAAGTTATATCCAATATAAGGCGATTAGGTATTTATATAGATTAGTGTATAAATCGTAGATAGAAAGGAGGTATACTGGAATATAACCGTCGTCGCCTCTACGTTTACCTTTTTAATAATAAGTGTAGTTAATAGATTTACGGTCCTTGGGAGTTAGCTTAATATATACGAAATGTGTACTAGCCGTATGACTATTGGTAGTTAACTAGCGGAAGTAACGATGGCACGGGAGCTTGGCTACTATCTTACGTTTACGTAGGGTTTAAGAAGAAATAGAGTAGGCTACGAGCGTATTAGCTACGTATTATACGCGAACTATATAAAAAGTATATACTTACGGCGAGGACGATAAGGAGGATTACTATTAGGCGCTTTAGTAGTAGTCTATTCGAGTATATTTTAAACGTTGGCCACTAAGAAAGATATTAGTATACATTACGAATACGGAAAGTACGATATACTCTTAAAGGATAATCGGGAAGAGTAAGTTTTAATTGCTAGTAGATGGACTAGGTAGAAGAGTTGTAAGATACTATTAATATTAGCGCTAGAATTCCGTAAGCGAAACGGATAAGAAGAGCTACTTATAGTTTATTGTTATTGATTCTAAGGAAAGAAAAAATAAGAGAGTAGAAATAATAACAGTACAACAATATTACTAGATATAAGTAGGTAGCGACGCGTACGCGAAACGATGCGGTAATACAATAGGGCGGTGAATAAAGCTATCGAGATACCGTATCCTTTTCGTATACGATATAGGAATAATGCTAGCCTTACGTAAAAGCAATAAGGCTAAGCGCTTTATATACGAAACGTATCTACCTAGAATAAAAATTTCGTATATATAAAAAGCGTAGTAGAAAAACCCTTATTACTATCTCGTAAGCGGATCGCTTACGATTTAGGAACGGGAACTAGGAAGGTATTAATCTTAATCTTAACGTTCTTCGTTAACTTACCCGAACTTCTCGAGAACGAGAAGTTAGGGGGAAGGGGGATAATGTTAGGAATACACCTAGGCCTTCTAGATAAGTTAACGGCCTTTCGTACGCGAGTCCTAGACGACCTGGCACTTAGACTCAATAGAATACTGAGCGTTAGGCTACCTATTTAACTTGGTAGATATAGGTATACGACTCGTATTAGGAGAGCTTACTCTCTTTATACTTAGAGTCCTATAGAGACCGAAGGTCAGGATTATCTAATACTAATTAACGAAACCCTTTATTATCGTACTTTATCTATTCTTATTAGGCGTTCCTTATAGATACTTATTTTAATATAGTAAAAGAAATTAATAGTAAATATTACTTAATACTAATAAGATATAACTTGTTATAAACTATAACCTTAATCTATAAAGAAAAGATTAAAGAATAGAGAGTAAAAAAAATATAAACTATAGTTATTATCGAACCTTATAGTGTCTTATAAATAGAAATCTTATATAATTATTTTATTACTACTTATTATATCGTATTTTATATAAATATATACTCTTTCTAAAAAAAAAAGAGATTACTCTATAGTAATAAATAAATACGCGCGATTATAGATCTTTATAAATCTTTTTAGACTATTATTAATATAGATAAGAAGTAGTTATCGATTACGCTAGCTAACGCACTATTACAATTAATTACGAAAGATTTTATACGAATTATAAATATTTATAATTTATCTTTACCTTTATTTTTACGTTCTTTCCTATAATTACTATTAGTTACGAATTAATATAAAAACTAACGAAAACTTACTTAATATATTTACGTAGCTTAATAGTATCGTAATATTTTAGTATATTAATATATATAACGAAGCGAAACGGATAGTACTTACTTTAGTTAAGAGAGTAGTTAGCTATACACTAGCCTTAGTAATAATATATATAAGCTATTTTATATAGTTATAAATAGTTACGAAGAAATATAGAATACTTACTATTATTAAGTTTATTAGCGACCGAACAATAAGAGAAGAAGAGATCCTATATATTTTTATACTAGATATAGTCTATTACTATTAGTTATTAATAAATATATAAGGAATAAAGAGAAAACTTATTAGGATTGTTAATAGTTTCGATTGATTATATATAGTATACCTTAATATAATCGATACGATCTATTACGAGCGTTAATAAACGGTTTTAAACTAAAGGAAAGAAGTTTACTTATAATTAATTATAAACTAAATTTAGTCGAGGATACGTTGAAATACAATAGATTACGTATTAGAATAATTAGTAACTAATTAATCTAAACGATATAAGGTCGCGATAATAATAAAGTTAGTCGATATATTATATTATATATTATTATTAACTATCGCGAATTATTATAGATTACTACGAAAGTATTAATTAAAGATTAAAGAAAAGATCTTATTGATTTAAAGCGAAAGCTCTCGAAACGATCTATAATAACTATAAATTAATATATCTTCTTAAAATTATAGTATAATATAAAGGGATAAGCGCAATAGTTAATTATTAATTAGAATTTAGCGAGTCTAATTAATAAACTATACTAGTATAGTTATAGAGATATATAAAAAGGGTCTAAGGTCGACGACGATAGAGTTCGAACCTCGTAGGATCTATATAAATCTACGTGTATCGAGCTAAAAGGGATACTCTCTATAGGATATAGAGATATTTATAATATTTAACTAATCGATAAGATATTAGAGACTAACTTAAGGGATTACTACTTATTTCTATCTCTTTTACGAAATATATCTACTTTTTTTTAATCGTAAAAATATATAATAATTTAGATTACTATCGTATATTAAATTTATTAATTATAAATAATATAAATTAAGGAAACTATAAAAGAATTAAAATAAGAACTTCTAAATCTTATAAAAAAACTAGGGTCTAAGGGTTTCTATATCTCGCGTAGCGTCGTCGCTATCGTTACGAGCTATTCTCGACCTTAATAGACTATTACTTCCTAAAATACAATATAATAGAGAAGACAATATATTTTTTATATATTATAAAAGAGAGAGAAATAAAATAGAAGGAAAGAAGGGAAGATATAATGCGTTACGAGCCCTACGGCTTAGTAGAACAACAAGAATACGTAACTCGTAGATGCTCGTAAGGAAGTAGAGGAGGATATGATATTAGCGTCGGGATACTTGCTCAGCCTAGTATTCCCCCTCCTTGCGCTCAGTTACGAGTGACTACATATAGCGGCCAGTCTTTCCCTCTTAGATTAGTTAGTTAATCAATCTCTTCCGCCGCTACAACCACAACTGCACCTTGTCACATGATACACTAGGCCAACATAGGAATAGCCCAGTTGGCGCACCTCTTCTCTTGCGCTGCGCTCTCTTGTCTTGCTCTTCTTTTCTATCTTGTCAGAGACACCATACAAACAATCAAAGCGCTATTGCAGCCACCAAAACCCCTTTCCTTCTTCTTCCAATGCCCATCATATTACACACCTCGTATAGCTTCCGCCATCTTCGACCTCCGCCTTGATAAAGCGACATGGCTGAGGGTCTCCTGAAATGCTCAGCTGAACAAGGGCTGCTCAGGGAGTGTCATACAAGGAGAGGCTTAGGTTCACTCTCCAGAGGCTATTGCAGCTGCCTTTGGAGGCCTATTCTCGACTCTCACAGCACTCTCTATTCTTCTCACGCCTCTACCTCCTCCTCCTGAACCCAAACTCTTTTGCCAGCCAAAGCCACGAAGATTCTCATGTCAGCCACAGACACCAAGTCAGTCAGCATGGCCGAACCCGCGCCACAGTCGCGAGAGACACCGGCTCGAGGAAGACGGCTCGCGACGCCTGTGGGACACGGTGTGTATGGGAAGAGGAGCACAAAAGGGCCATAACTGCCGAGGGGGTGTCTATCAGGACTCACAACGCACACGTGGAAGATGAAGACGAAGACGAAGACGACGACAATGACACCCACAGTGACCGCACGGTATCCTCGTCAACCAGCACCAGAACCCGCTACAACGCCACGTCGTCCGGAAAGGAGAGGCCAATCGCCAGACCCAAGCATTGCAACTCCTCGACGAGATCTCATGCGATGCTCGCTGACATATTTGCCGCCATGGTTAGTCCCAATGACGATGAGAATCTTGCTGCAATCAGCCAGTTGATCCCTTGCCTCGGCCCTCAAATGGTCCAAAGGCTTATATGCGCAATGTCAAGAATATGGAAATCGCGCGCATGGCCAGCCGGAACGCCGCCCCGAGTGCGTCTCAGGACTCCAATGCGACAATCGACTACAACACTACGGCGAAAAACCCCCCAGGCGACGGGCCACGGCATTCGCTCCTCCGGCGGCGGCTACCCCTGCGGCTCCCAATGCCAGACTCAACGGGCCCACGGTGTTGATTCCATCGGCAGCTATTCCTTCGCCTCACAATACCATACCCGACATATGTTCGTCGGCTATGCTTTCGACAGCGATGCCTCCGACGGTCGAGTCCAGAGCCGAGACGCGCTCGACGAACATCCTTTGCCGGCTACTGCTGCAAGAAACCATCAGCCTTCGGCGGCCAACACCAAACGCGATACACGCACGATGAACCGTCCTCGGCGGACTTGGACCCCTACTCGGTGCGACCGGGCGAGCTGTACTTCGAGGAGCTCATCGCACCGAGGAACAAGCTGTACGTCGCGATCTCCTTCGACGGCCACATCTGGGTCGGCCACGAGAGCGTCAAGGACAGCCACCTGCTTGCGCCCTTCCTCAGCCGGCACCCCCGCTGGATGCGCTTCTGGGCCGAGGGGACGGTGCAGGATCGGCTGTGTCAACCTGCCACGGACGCCCGTCTACAACATCCTCGACATGGCCGTTGACTACAAGGCCAGGCCCAGGTCCCTGGTCGTTCTCGATGCCGTCTGGCTGAGCGTCAAGGACGTGCAGAACATGAAGCTCGTGGAGCACGTGACCAACTTGTGCAAGGTGAACCGTGGGTGGAATATCAGACAAGATGGAGGGTGGTTTTCCCCCCCTTTGGTTTGGGGGGATTGGTGTTGGATTGATGCAGGGGTGCAGGGGTGCAGGGGTGCAGGCACATGATAATGTTCTACTGGCGGTTGTTGTTGTTGGTGTTGTATTTTCTCTTTCTGGCGTTCATGGCTTTCTGGTCGAATTGTCCGTGATTCTTATCCGCGTCATCGTGCCATGGGGTCTCCTCCGCGGAAGAAGTCCGCGCGCCTTTCCAAACCGTCGGGACTGGCTGTGTTTGAAAGAAATCGAAGTTCTGCTATGACCTGCTGCTGTGTGACCTGGCGACCCCCCGCTTCCCCAGTCATTCTGCGCTTCCTTCCCGATCAACTAGCTAGCTGACTATCTGGTTCGGACCGTCGCGGCTGCCGCGGCCCTGGGGTAAGCGCCAAGACAAAACTATGTGGGGGTTTAGCGAAAAACTTAAAAAGCACGCCGTCGTGCTCTGGCGACGATCATCCGGGGGAGGGACGGGGGCGGAGTCTGGGGAACTCCCCTACGCGCCGGTCATCTTGGGGACAGGACGGCCAACCACCAACCAAGTCGCTGGCGTGAGAATAGCGTGTGGTCAGTGAGGAGATGGAAGGAGGTATCCAAAGATATTATTATTGGCATTGAGTACCGTTCCATGTAACCAAACTATATATACATGCCAGCTGGAGCCATTCGCGGGTTGCCAGATTCCCCTTATCCACGTCCCCAGGCAAGGCGGTGATGACGGCTAAGGCATCATCGTCATCGAGGTAGCCGGCCCTTCACCTTCCGAGCCATCATCTCTCCGCCGAAGAGGCTTCCCTGGATCTGGACCGGCCAGGTGGGAATCAAAAACTCCGGCAGCGGCTCAAGCTGTCACCCATTTACGTCGTGACTATCGTGGCCATCATCTCCGTCGCTCGTCACGCTCGAGGCGCGACGCCCAGCATCTGTGCAGCCTGCACCGTCTCCGCCGAGCGCGATCTCGCGCCTGGTGGCAGAGACACCGTCTTCGTTGAAAGGCTCGGTGGGAGTCGCAGGCGTCTCCATACTCCACCCAACCAGCTCAGGCTCTTTGTTCTTCCTCCTACAGCCAGCAGCGGGAGAAGACTTTCGCGAACGAGCGGCCTGCGCTCCAACGGGCAGGAGCTTGAGGTTGGTGCACCCTCAGCTGGCGCTTCATGTACTCGTCCATGCTGTTGAAATTGCCGACCCTCTGGTCTGTCACGAAGCTGTTGAAGGATAGATCACGGTTTCCGGTTTACTCGCCCCCTACCTTGTTGTGTTCTTGAGTTGCGGTAACTCGCCCAGCGTATCTCTGATGCCGGGATTCGCGCCGTACTTCTGCAGCAATCGCACTAGTCTCTCGTTTCCAACCCTGGCTGCTTCGTGCAATGGTGTTCCCAGTCCAAAGTCCTTCCAATGGTGGTAGGAGAATTCGTGTTCTTCGTACATGATTCCGTTGATTGGAGCGCCTTTTTTGAGGAGTAGCATGATGATCTCGTCCGGACGATCTTTCTCTACAGCACAATGAAGAGGCTGTCCGTATTCTGTGGAAGCACCAAGCTTGAATAGCAGTTCGATTACCTCTTTCGAAGCAGATTTGCCTGCCATAGATAGAGGTGTAATGTCGAATTTGTAGCGAGCATTAGGATTCGCACCGTGAGCAACGAGCCATTGCACCAGCTCCGGATCAAACAAGGCAAGGCTAAGTTGATTAGAAACCATCGTAACTCGAGTTGAGAGAGAGAGAGAAACCTACGCCGAAGGAGGAGGATAATCTTCTCGGAGAGGTGTATTTATGTCGAAGCCACTTGACAGTAGAAGCTCAAGGATGGGGTATGAACACTGTTCGACGGCCCTGGCGAAGTCGAAAGTAGTTGGTTTGATGTTGTTGGCCAGCAGACAAGCCACAACAGTCAAATCGTCGTTCTCAACCGCAATTCGTAGAGCCTCATGTTTGTCTCGGTCGGATAGGTTATGTGCGTTACTAAGAAGCGATTGCATTTCCTCTAGATCGCCGGCGGCACTGGCGTTTGCGAGGGAACTTTCGCTAAACGACATCTTAAGATGAGGAGACCGTGGGAGACTTAGAAGACGTGTCTACTGGGGAGAAGATGGAGAAGCAAAGGCGACCTTTGGTATAAATCTTGGTTGGTGGGGAGACCATTTGACTTACGTCATCACAGCCACCCAGGAGCTATACGGTTGGGGGTTCCCCTTGGATCCTTAGGCACTGAACAGAGATCTCTTCAACCTTCTTCAACAATTAGGCCTAGGCGCCAGAATAGCAAGTTACATTTGAACTTCTTTCCACCAAAGCCAATTCCACGGCAAACTCGAGAGCTCGTTCTCGCTCCATCATATCGTTCGTTTGACCGTGGCATCGTCACATTCAACCATCACCTCGACAACCAACCTCGAATTCGGGTTATGCCCTATCCTTCAAAATCAGTGAAAATCCCGAACCTTTTGCTCACCCAGGCTTTCTTGCCCTGAAGAAGGTTCCGTTCCCAGTCCTCTTTCTTGATAATAGACTTTTTGGGCATTTATTTCAATAATCCTCGCGCCCCTTCCCATGTCTAGCTTAGATTTTATATATCTCAACCTATTTTCTTGCCTACTCACCGTCGCGGCTTGATGAGTGCTGGTTGAAGGCCCGGAGATGGTGTATTGTGAGAAGGCAGGCTTTAGATGATGAGTTCTTACGGGGCAGCAGCGGTTGAAATCGGCCTAGGGTTGGCCCTTGGAAATATTGGGTTTGAATATATACCTTGTGAGGTGGAAGTTGTTGTTGGAAATCCAAGGTTTGCTTGTTGAGGGATCGGTTTTGGCTGACGGATCTCTGACGGCTTAATCAGGACCTGGCTTTTCTCGATCGATGAAGCGAAAACCCTCAGTACCAATCTGTCTTGGAGGTAAAGAGCTGGACCTTTGGGAGCTTTACCATCCACAAATGCCGTACCATGCTCTCCTAGATGATTCCGAGCAAATCCTTGACTTCATAGTCTTGAAGTAGGAAATCAACGTAAAATTTTCGAAGGCATTTTGCGATAAATTCTTTCTTATCGGGCAGCTGGATTTTGCCGTGGAACACTGCATATATCAAGGCAGCTTGGTAACCACGGAAGTACTTTTCGTTTGCCCTGTACTTGGCAGCAAATTCTTGCATTCTGGGCAATCAAATTCTTATCACCTGCCTGTGGATCCTCGAAGTTGACTCCCGGATGTGGCGGAATATGTGCGGACACCGTGGCCCGGGGAGATATCAGAAACACTGCAAAACAGCCATTTAGCGCCTCGGTTAGGTGGTACCGTTTGCCTCCACTGCCAAACACAAGTAATGCAACTTCGTTCATAAAGAAACTCGAGGTAGCATCGTCATTTTTGATGAGGTTGTACGTAGGATGTCGTTTAGCCATGAACAAAGGTAGAATGTTCGAGGATCTCTTGTTAAACTTCGATGCGGATCCCGGCAGCACTGGTCAACTCTGATGCCCAATGTTATGTTTAAATACAGGCGCGGGACTGGCGAGGCACCCATGAGATGAACAGAGGAATGCTGAAAACATGGACTCCATCGATAGCCGCGACTCTGGCAAGGCAATAGCAGGCTACACCTGGCTATGGTGTGGCTGAATTTAGAACTGGTTTGCACGCTGGGCGCTCTTTCAGCCTAAGAGACTGATTCCACCC